GCCCCGGCCCCGCAGCCCGCGGCGCGGCGCCTCCTCACCTCCGGGCGCACGTACGACACGAAGGAGGGCTTCGGCGCCTTGGTGCCGCCGCCTCCGACCACGACGCCTTTCCCCAGCATACCGCCGCCCGGCGAAGCAGCGACTCGCAGGAGCAGACACTGCGATCAGACTCCAGCTGCGGCGGGAGCCACCAGGACCAGCGGCTGGGGCTCCGCCCATCCCCAGGGCCGCCGCGGCCCCGGCACCGCCCGTATCCGGCCCCGCCGCAGACACCGCTCGCGCCGCCCTAGCCCACAGGCCCCTCCCACCTCACGCAGCAGCGAGGCGGAGGCCCGACGACACGCCCCCTCCTTTAAGACTTGACAGAGAAAGTCACCTCCTCCGGCGGCAAGGCCCGCCCTCCTACGTTCTCTGATTGGCCAAAAGGCCCTGAAGCCTAGCGCCACTCCAGGCTGCTTCTTGAATGAACCTTTGAGCGATATTTCCCTCGACCAATCAAGACAGCGTTATCTATGGCCTTCCTGGCGATTGGAGAACGAAGAAGTAGTCTTGGCCCAATGATCCACCGGTCACTAAGTTGTGGTGGGCGGTGGCTCAATGCAGTCATTCTCTTGTCTTTGCTTCTTGCTTTGGTATCTAACGCCTCAGTGTAATGTATTGAATTGCACTTTATATAGCTCAAGTTCCAGCTCAACATAAGTGACTTTCAAGGTCTATTACTTTAAAAGTAGACGAAAAACGAGACAAGTGTCATGCAAGTGTTAACAGAATCTAAAGAACGGTTTCGTATGCTTGTTCAAAAAGATGTTTTCGGCTTCATTTTTTTCAAATTGTCTTTTGTTGGTATCTTTGTGTTTCTCACAGGTCAAAAGTCCTTAGCAAACAAACTTCTTATGCATTCTCCCAAGTTACCAATAAAACTCTCATTTTCAGCCAAGATTACAAAGACAATTCTTTTCCATCTGACATTTGACACAAGCTTTGCGTTAAACGAAGACAGGACTCAGCTGTAAAGAAATTTAGTCTAATCTACAAGATAAAATAGATGAATGGGACCTTCTAATAATCAAATCCCTGTGCACTTCCAAAAACCTCTCCAACAGGGTAAAAAGGGAAGCCACAGACTGGGAAAAAGTATTTGGTAACGACATGTCAGATAAGGGACTTATATCTAGAATTTATAAAATACTTGAGCCCTGCAACAAGATAAAGGTAAATAATTCAATTTAAAAATGGGCACAGGCCAGACGGGGGAACGCCGTCGCCGGACAGGGGAAGGCCACTGCCAACGGGGGAAGGCCGCCGCCGGACGGGGGAACGCTGCGAGAGGGACCTGGAAGAGACCCAGGAAGAACAACAGCCAGCCACCTACCGCGGAACTCCAGAGGAGCGAAGACTGTGAGACCCCAGAGGAACTAAGACTACTGGACACTGTGGGACCCCCCTGCAACCCACACGTGTGTGACCCTTAACACACAGGGTGCTGCTGCATAAACCCTCAGCAGCGCCCAAGCCCCGTCCCCACCTCTTGGTGATAGTGTCCAACCCCTGCGCTCCTTGCCCCCTAGTCCCTTGCTTTCCTTCCCCTCCCCCACCCACTTGCAGCTCCACAACCACACATCTCAACCCCCACCACAGCCCTGTGACCTCAGGGCACCACCTTGAATCCCGACATCACCTGGAGCTATCAGGCGAGCTGTTGAGGAACTAACCTGGCAGGAGAAAGGCCAGTAGGATCTTATCTGTGTTTACTGGGGCATTGCTGATTACCCGGGAGAGCACCTAAGGGCGCGCCCACAGGCGGGGAATTTGGCCGATCTCTCTTGGGCTACACCAAATGCCCCAAAGGAGCCAGCCAGCTGGCTTCTGTGAACTCTGCAGACCAGCTAGAGGCTAGTGGGTGGGTGGGAACTTGACCTTGACTTTTCTGATCCCGTTGGATCCAGGACCCTGCTGGAGCAGGGGCTATTGTG